AATATAATGGATTTGTGTTTCATGAATTGGTTCCTAAAATATTTCATAGAAAACTGAGGGAGCAAAAAAATGTAATAAATGTCAGACTTTGATATGTCTATAAAAGTTCTTTAAAGTCCAGCTTATCAGAGGCCATGAATATGATCTTTAGCAGTGCCATAAAATATAGTAAAGACCACAGGGTTTAAGTTCAGTAGAACTGCAAAGATCCTAACCTACTGCCACTTAACAGGGGCTAGGAAAAGAATAGCCTTAATAGTACTTCATTGAATTCAGATAGCAGGAAACTCCGTACTGAAGACCAACTTGAAAGATCACTGGAGTCCAAAGGATCATAATGTGGAAATAATAGAAAGCTAGCTAAGAATCAAGGTCATATGAGAGCTTTCAAAGCAGCAGCAGCAAGTAACCTTTTAACACACTTAATAGAACACTTGAATCACATGAAACCTAATCATGTAAATATAATTTTAATTTGAGGAAAATGCAACTCTGAGATGTGAAGTAATTAGTGATATTACTATGTCTCATGTGCATGGCTTTAGACCACAGTTTTTAAGCTCCAACTATTTCAGTAATATGACACAGTTGGACTAGCCTCCAGTCGGAGTGGCTAATGGAAAAGAAAACCAGCTCAGTAGCATGAAGCAGTGTGCTTCAAATGGCAGAGTGGTTGTGAGAATCCCCGATGTCTGTGACCTAAAATCAGAGAACAGGGTGCCATTCTCACCATTAAGACCATTTGTCCACATTTAGTTCCCATGGAGAAAGCAAAATAAATGTGAGGATAAGGCAGGACTGACCTTAATATTCTTTGTCTATTTTAATCTGTGCAAATCAGTGTCCTCCTTGCCAGCAGGTGTTCTCTGGCTGTGGAAACTGAATGATGGTGTGGTCTGCCTGCTATTCACACATATTGCGAACCAGGTGAGCAGCAATAACTTATTCTGGGATATAGAGACTTTATTTTCCTCTGCCATAAACAGAGAATATTTCAAGAAATCTGTGTACTTCAGTGAAATACACAGGATGTTTTGACATTTGGGAATCACAGCTTTTCTCCCACAGAAATATAGATAATATTTCCACCACAAGTGTTTTGGCAGTTATATAATCTTAGTATTTATTTCTAAAATATTCATCAGAAATGAAACATATTATTACTCAAATGCTTTTACTGGTTGGTGTGGGGGTTTTTTTTAAGATTTTATTTATTTATTTGAGAGAGAGAGAATGAGAGATAGAGAGCACGAGAGGGAAGAGGGTCAGAGGGAGAAGTAGACTCCCCGCTGAGCAGGGAGCCCGATGTGGGACTCGATCCCGGGACTCCAGGATCATGACCTGAGCCGAAGGCAGTCGCTTAACCAACTGAGCCACCCAGGCACCCGGTGTGGGTTTTTTAAAAACAAGTTTGAGTATAGTTTGTTTTTCTCTTCTGATCTCTTCAGAAAAATGTTGCTTTTCTTCTTAAGAAACAATTCCGTATTTTTGACTCTATGCCTGGTTACAACATCATTACTCTAAATTATGTTTTACAGTATACTGAATAGAATATTGGTCATATAACAATAAAGCTCATAGCCCATATTCCATTTTCTAAGGTTTATACCTAGAAATCCATAAGGATTTCTTTTTTGCCTTGTCTAGTTTTCTATTTACATCTGCCCACCACCAGATGTTATTACTTGACATGGCACTGTATATCATTGCCACGTAGGTGGCATAAAGATTTATGTCCTATTCATGAATAGTTGACAAATTCTATTTTTATTTCACAATGGATGAAAGCAAATCACTTGGCCTTAATGTTTCAAAAACAAAGTTATTACTGTTTGGCATTCTTTTTGGCTTGAAAAATGTTTGGCCTTTTGTACACAGATACACACAAACATACCATATACATATTTTTTTTCCTTTTTAGGTTGATTGTATATTCTAAAGCCTGACTGCCTATATAAAGCCTTGGGCTTCAATTCTCTTGCCTTAAGATCAGCATATTAGGAAAATAAGCATGGCTTTATTTTTCATTTGCATTGCTTATCTTCAGTGTGTGATTTTTTTTTCTAGAGCACTAAGTTTCCAGGGCTTCTGACTGATGCACTTGCTATCTTACATATTGATTTGTAACTGACTCTCTCATTTGCCTTCACAATTCCATCTTTCATAGATTGGAGTCATTCCCAAACACATCAGATTATATCATTTCAGAGATCAGATACTTAGTTCTTTTCAGCCTCAGGCCTCTCTGTACATGAACTACTCTGCTGTGTATAATCTATTTACTTTTGTGCTTAAAATATATTTTAGACCTTATTTTACATATACTGCATGGAATTGGCAATGTACTCCTATAAAACAGCATGATTTTACAGTATTAGTGTAAGCTTTAACATCTAAGAAGCACTAGAAGGGGGTCAAGGGCTAAGGCTATAGGATCCACTCTTGCTCTATTATCCCACCAGTACCCACAGCAAGTGCTCAAAAATGCTCTTTGACTGATACAGACAGAATGGCTTCTGGGTGATACAGAAAATAGATATCTTCACGAGATGACTGAAAATACAAGAGTCCAGAGATAATTTGTCCCAGAGGTGGCCTAAAAATCCATTCTTTTATTTTCCAATTCTGAATCTCAATTGTAAATGTAATAAACAAAATGCCAGCATTATCCTAAGCAGGTGGAGGGATTCAATCTTGATTTTTAAAATATTACAGTCTTGGCTTCAGGTCAATAAAACCACAGTACAAGTGCTAGACAAAAATATTGGGGAGAACTTGTAATTTGACCAAACCAATTTCCAGGACCATCTCCTCCAAACTAAAGTATTGGTGTAGGAAGGAAGGAAGAGAGATTAGAAAAGAATTAAGTTCAGTTTGAGAGGCTATGCCCAGAGAATTCACAATCTCAGGCCAACTCGCACATGAGGTGGAACCACTGAGCTTTCTTTAACGTTTAGAATCTGAAAGTAGTGTGGACCTACTTCCTAGTTCCCTTGCTTCCATCGTCAAACCCAGGGATGTTACGTGTTTCCTGTGGAAGCCACTCAAGCCTGCATAGTACAGCAGAGAAGTAGAGCAGAGATGGTAGCATGACTGGTGGTATAAGAATTTGAGAGAAAGAGACAACCACCTGAGATACCTATGGGGCCAGAGTGGAATAAGAGAGCATTTAAAAGTGTCCTAAGACTCCCCAAAGGGGTATGAGAGCTTGCTCTAAGATAGAACCCACAGGTCAAGAGATTTCACAGAGTAAGCAGTGGATAATACAGAATGAAGGAAGACACCATATGTAATGACACTGTGGAAGAGGACCACACAGAATGAACAGCATCCTACCACAGGACTTAGATCAAGATCTAAAAGAAGACACTTTGGGGGCATGTGGGTGGCTTCGTTGAGCAACCAACTTTTGATTTCGGCTAAGGTCATGATCTCAGGGTCATGGGATTGAGCCCTGAATCAGGCTCCTCCTTCAGGGGGGTTGTCTGCTGGAAATTCTCTCTCTCCCTTTGCCCTTCTCCCAAGTTCACTCTCACTCTCTCTCTCTCAAATAAATAAATCTTAAAAAAAAAAAAGGAAATACTTTCTTCTCTTCAAAATGATAAATTTGCATATTTTCTCCCTCTCCACTTTGGCTAAGTTTAAATTTAAATGATTGATGCAATTATTCCACTAAGTTTACCTGAAAGTGACTAAATGAAGTTTTCCTAACTGTAGTGAATGTGCTGCCACATATTGTTAAGAACACCAATTCTGGAACCAGATCCACTGGGTTCAAATCTTAGCTTTGCCTAGGATTTGTGACATTAGTCAAGTAGCATTATCTCTCTGTGTCTCTGTTTCTTCATATATAAATTGGGAAAAATAATGGTGATTTTGTTATACTATTTACTTATACTCTTATAAAATGATTTGACATATATAGCATGCATAGAAAAGTACCTATGATAAGCAACTATATATAATACATATTATAATATATATTATTATTCTCATCAAATAGAATGGGTGCTAAAAATAGAAATTAATTTTAAACAGTAAGCTTTTGCCACATCAAGTTTGTGCCATGTTAAATATGTAAACGCTATATAGATATATTAATATAGAATTTTAGGGGAGAAATGGAATTACAGATCATTAGTTCCAAACTTACTTTTAAAGATAAGAAGAATGGTATTTAGAAAGGTCAAATAATTTTTCCATGGCCCTACAGCTAATAAATCTCAAGACCAGGGTTCAAACTCAAGTCATCACTTATTCATTCAATGTGCCAGGTGCTGGGCTACATTTGGAAATAAAGCAGTATGCCAGGCAAATACACATCTACCTCACAGAGCTTACAATATGCCAGGAAACATACCTGGAAAGACAGCAGTGTATTATGATAGAAGAAATATTCCTAGCAGCCACGCAAGGCTTTCAAAGTGACTTGAAGCCAAAATCTAAATGAAGAGTGGAATTTAGACAGAAAAAGGGATGAGGTTAGAATACTTAAGGGCAAGGATGAGCTATGTAAGAGGCCCCAGAGTTGAGAAATAATAAAACTTGTTCAAGGAACTGATATAAATTTAGTATGTTTTAGCAGAGAATGCAGAAAGACAAGGTGCACAGAAGCAGTAGATAGGATGAGATACTTGGGAGTCTTATATATAAACTATGGTAAGAAACCTGGACTTAATCTTAAAGACAATGAAAACTATCAAAGCTTTTAAGAAGAAGATAGAAGATTCCCCTGTTGGAGGATCCTTCTAAAACCTGTGGGAGAAAAGCCTGGAGAGGGCAAGATAAGAGTCAGGGATACCATTTAAGAGACTGGTGTATCCATGAGAGAAAACTAGGTCTTCTGTTCCTTTGAATGACATCACTATAAGAAAAGAGTAAAGATAAAACAAGGAAAATAAACAGGGCCTAAAAACTATTCTTGCTCTCCTTAAGTCATCTGCAACCCTTTTCATATCAATCACAGATTGTTAGTGAGAAGTGACCTTAAGGAAACCAACCTTTGGAATGTAGAGAAAGGCTATGTGTCTTGCTCATGTTCTATTAATGGCACAATCAGAACTAAATCTCAGATCTAATCTGCCAGCCTAGTGCCCTTCCCTGCACCATCCTGAAGTTAAATCCCTTAGAATGAAGGCAGGGCCACCACAGTCACTAAGAAGCTGAGAGTTCTAGAACCCTGAGCAGATTGTCCTGAAGAGTTCCAGACCCCATGTCCCAGCAGCCTAGGCCAGAGGCTGTGCTTCTGTCAGCTGAAAAGACGTTGCTCTGAAGGTTTGCGCACTGAGTCTTAGAATGTAGTTTTCTTCCACTCACAAGGAAATTTGCAACTAAAATTAGTTAAAATTCAAACTCAGTGAATAACGTAGTTCAGTTCAGCATGGAAAACAGTCTAATAGTACACTTATGGAAAATTGTAATGAGTAGCCAATTGCTCTCAACAATCTGTTAGGTTGTCCCAGTGCTCAGAGGGAAAAAACTCATATTAAACTGAAATCGTCCTGCCTATAATTTCTCCTCATTGGTCTGATTTTTTCCCAGTTGCCTCAAATGTAACTTACAAATAAATAGGGAGGAAATAATAAAGCTCTGCCCCCTGGAGCCTCTGAAAGCAAGCCTTGGCTTATCTTCCAGTTGAATAAAAAGTATTTGGGGTCAAGCCTGAGCTTGGCAAATGAGCTCAATTAACCCAGATTCACTTTGGAAGGAAATTTTTATTCAGAATAATCAAGTTGTCTAATAGAATCTATGCTTAAGAAATGGACAGCAAGGAGATTAAATGGCCCAGAGTTCCAGAAAACAGATTCAGAGACGAGGCCTAGAAGCCTAAAGCAATGACAACCACCCCAGTGCCTTTTCCATTGCAAAGCCTGACTCTCTGAAGTCTTACTGGAAATGGGCAGTAACTCTAGCAGCCAGGGTCTATTGTAAAACTAGTGTAACATGCCCAGAACAGTATCAGCATGACGGTGACAAAGTGACATAAACAAGTTTAATACATTCTAGAACTGCATTAGACTTGAGGCTTGGGATTCACAAACACCCACCTCTATAACTGAGTTCCCAATTCCTGTTCATCACTGCAGCAAGCAAGCCTCCTTTAGGCCTGGATGTCAAGGGAATAGGTCCAAATCTAAGGATTTCACTTATTCCCTCCTCTACAGACCATGTAGGTTTGAGTTTCCACTTAGGAGGATGTCAAAATCTAAAATAATCCCCAACACCTGTCATATACACAGGAAGAGACCTATTATCTTCAACCAAAGCACTATTTATTATAACAGAAATACTAAATGCATCAGCAGAGGTAGGTCCCAGCTTGTGGTGGTTTGGGATTGTAAATATTGGTTAATTTTTAGTCCAAAAAACAAATCATTTATTCATAGTCATCACTGGTTCAGCATTTAATTCCCAGGATACAGCCAAGATAAAGGATTTCAGAGACTGGTGCTGTAATGGTAAAATAACAAAAGCATCTATAATCCCTGACCCCAACAGATCCAAGAGTTCACTTGATCAGTTTTATAGTTTTTATAGAAAGAAAATGGTGACCCTCAAAATGACTCCAGGCTATTTATTCATTGGTTAGTCTAAGCATATGATATAATTGCTCCTCCAACCAAGCTCTAATGGGAGACATTGATAGAGGCTGCTACTGGCTGGGATTCAGTCTGGGACAGGCTGTTGCCATTGTAATTTTGTACAGAATCACAATTAGGCATGGGATAAAGGAAGCTAAGAAATTAAGAACCTAAAAGTAGAAGTGCCTTGGGAAAACAGCGCATCTCTGTTCTATGTATTTTGTGGATATATTTCCCTGGGATCTCTCTGGATTGAGAATGAGAGCCATTTTCCTAATTATTAAATCAGAGGATTAGCCTAGGCATTTAAAATGGCCCATGCTAATATGTGTGTGGGAATGCATATGCACACATGCACACACTAGCATTAGAAACAGGATCTGCGGGGGCGCCTAGGTGGCTCAGTCATTAAGCGTCTGCCTTCAGATCAGGTCATGGTCCCAGGGTCCTGGGATCGAGCCCCACATTGGGTTCCCTGCTTGACGGGAAGCCTGCTTCTCCCTCTCCCACTCCCCCTGCCTGTGTTCCTCCTGTCACTGCATCTGTCTCTGTCAAATAAATAAATAAAATCTTTAAAACAAGAAAAGAAAAGAAAGAAAGAAACAGGATCTGCGGGGCACCTGGGTGGCTCAGTCGTTAAGCCTCTGCCTTCGGTTCAGGTCATGATCCCAGGGTCCTGGGATCCAGCCCCGCATCGGGCTCTCTTGCTAGGTGGGAAGCCGGCTTCTCCCTCTCCTGTCCCCCTGCTTGTGTTCCCTCTCTGTCAAATAAATAAATAAAATCTTTAAAAAAAAAGAAACAGGATCTGCCTCATTTCTGGGGAAAAGAACATCAAGTTCTTTCTCAGTCCACCCCAGGCAATACCTAGTTGAGTCCACAATGACTAGGTTTAGCTGATAGCTCCTTATAGAGCACTAGCAGCCACACTCCTCTTTCAAAAAAATAGTAGAAAGGATTATTGTTTCTAATTCTTCACTCCTTTGCTAGAGAATAATACTCTCTTTGCCACATGACTTCCACTAGAGTAGGCCAATGTGACTTGGCCATGCGATTTGCTTTAGCCAATGAAACAGTACATGTAATGTGAGGAGAAGCTTTACACTTGCTTGGATAACTTGGTTTGGCTTCTAGCATATCTGCCATCATGATGGGAAAAGCATACACCTAGTAGTTACTTATCCCAGAATGAGTCATGCAGAGCAGAGCCAAAGTCAACCTATAACACAGAGCCAAACCCAGCAGAAGCCTAGTCAACCCACAGATTCATGATCCAAAAAAAAGTAAATGTCTATTGCTGTAAACTGCTAACAGCTTTCAAGCTTTTTAAAAGTTATTTGTTATACAGCTTCACTGCTGCAATAGCTAATATAAAAGATATTCCAGAGTTCAAATTAACAGTACTGATAAAGCACAGTAGGATATCTAAGCTCAAAAGGTATATATGTCCACAAGAGCAACTGAATGAAATAGAAATAATCTTCATGTTATCTAACTAAACTACCCAAGAGCCCAAATAGTTCATTAAATTGTTTACATCTTTTTATTTTACGTATTTTTCTCAAGGATAAATAGGTTAAAATGTAAAAGAAATCCAAAAGAAGAAAAAAAGGCTACAAATAAATGTTGGCTGGAAACGCTAGAATCTAGCCTGTTATAAAACCTTTTACTGAGAACTAAACTATATTTTTAAAACTAGTCAACCTTTCCTGATTTCTCCAGGAAAATTTCTTGATGTAAAATATTACCATTTACTATAGAAAATATATTTTAATTATTTCTATAATAATTGTGATGGTTAAAGTGGAGTCAGAAGGATAGAAAGTATCCCTTACCTCTAATAAGTTACTAACCATTTTTTCATCTCAAGAAAATCTAGTAAGTTACCAAGTTGACACCTCTAAAATGGCCAATTTAATCATTTTAGACAATTCAGTAATCAATGAGAAATTCTCTACAATAAATTCAATGGTAGTAAATAGTATTGAATGTCAAGGCAACTTGAAGTGGCTAGAGCATAGATTGATCACAACCTCTTGGGGCTAGAAAACAAAACAAAACAAAAAGAAGAAATCTTCTATCTCCATCATGTACCAGGCCTTTCAAGGACAGGAACCCAGAATCCATGTCTCCTTTCCTGAGACAATGCATATGAGCTTTCCCAATAGGTTATCAATGACAATCAAACCAAGTCTTGGCAGGCTGATGCGTATCACGTAACTCTGCAGATCATGAGTGTCCACCTACTTAGACCACTTTCCAAGCAACAACTCCCAGACTCTTCTGGAGTCTAGCAACCTATATTTGTCCTCACTCTCCACTTTCTCTGACCTTTTTTTTGTCTCAAGGAAATCTGCACATTCTCCAAAAACACTCCTTTTTCTAGTTTATTTTTAAAAGCCACTGCCCTTATTTTTTTCTTTTTTTTACAATAAACTCCAACAGTCCATTAGATCCAGCATAGGAATGAAGCCAAGAATAATCCTTTCAGTACTGCACACAAAGAGAAAAACTACAAAATTTAAGGCCTAGAGTAAAATAATCTGACTCATGTAGAAAAGCCAAAAGACTACACCAAAAAATTTCTAGAACTCATACATGAATTCAGCAGTCACAGGATATAAAATCAATGTGCAGAAATCTGATGCATTTCTGTACACCAATAACAAAGCAGCAGAAAAAGAAATCAAGGAATCAATCCCACTTGCAATTGTATCAAAAACAGTAAGATACCTAGGAATAAATCTAAAGAAGTAAAAGATCTATACTCTAAAAACTATAGAACACTTATGAAAAAAATGGAAGAGGACACAAAGAAATGAGAAAGCATTCTATGCTCATGGACTGGAAGAACAAACATTGTTAAAATGTCTATCCTACCCAAAGGAATCTACACATTTAAAGCAATCACCATGAAAATACCACCAGCATTTTTCACAGAGCTAGAACAAACAATCCTAAAATTTGTATGGAACCACAAAAGACCCCAAATAGCCAAAGCAATTCCGAAAAAGAAAAACAAAACTGGAGGCATCATGATTCTGGATTTCAAACTATATTACAAAGCTGTAGTTATCAAGACAGTATGGTACTGGCACAAAAACAGACATACAGATCAATGGAACAGAAGAGAGAACCCAGAAATGGACCCACAACTATAAAGTCAACTAATCTTTGATAAAGCAGGAAAGAATATTCAATGGAAAAAAGACAGTCTCTTCAACAAATGGTGTTGGGAAAACTGGACAGCAACATGCAAAAGAATGAAACTGGACCACTTTCTTACACCATACACAAAAATAAATTCAAAATGGATGAAAGACCTTTGTGTGAGACAGGAAAGCATCAAAATCCTAGAGGAGAACACAGGGAGAAACCTCTTTGGCCTCAGCCATAGCAACTTTTTACTAGACATACCACCACACGCAAGGGAAACAAAAGCAAAAATGAACTATCGGGACTTCATCAAGATAAAATGTTTCTGCAAAGCAAAGG